ATTGAGTAAGGATTATTGATATTTATTAATAAATAACTGACGGATAAACCTACCAAGAAGTTGGAACAACCGGCCCTTAATCGGGTTTAGTAACATCCTAGAGTCCCTATATATAGAGTCTAGCCACTCGATTAGTTTTGAAAAAACATGGCGGCGGTATATGCATAGATGCATCTTGTGTTTACCATATTTATTTATTTTGGAATAAAACTTTCATTGACTACACCTTATTCGACTACAAATTGATAGTATTAATAAAAGCAGAGTAAAGCCTATAAAAGTAAGTACAATTATTTGGTATATGGTTTCTAAAATAAAATATCTAAGAATAATGAGATTATAAAGAAATAGGATTTGTCATAAAAATTGTAAATTCTAACCTCACATTGTTTTTAATAGTTTTATTTACAATGAGTTTTATTTATAATAAGTTTTATTTAAATGAGTTTTATTTATTATTGTGATACAAACATTATTGTGATACTGAATATATAAGTAATAATAATATATACTGTAATGATATGATTTTAAGTATTATTAGTTAATTTTTCTTTATTTTTTAATTAAAAATTTCTAGAAAAAAATAATATTAATTGTTATTAATTTTCTTGTTCTATTTTTTTTTCAAATTATTATACTTTCTATAAGAATTCCTATTGGTTCCGCCATGTTTTTCCAAACTTTGTTTCGACCAATAAAAATAAACACAAGCGTGGCCAGACTCTATATATAGGGACTCTAGTAACATTCGTAGTTATGAAACTGGCCAATCACAGTTATTCCTCTGAAAAAATGGAATGACTGTGATTGGTCAGAATTGATAGAATTATGGCTCCTGCACACAGGATGCGACAATGCTTATCGCGCATAAGCAATGAACAATCTAGAAACTTTTTAGTTTTGGTTCTGCATATATTTTGATATACGTGAAGTTAGTTGTTGCAGGTATATTTGTTTGTATCGGTTATTGAGATTTGTACTGATTTTAACAAGTTGTCAATAATTTAAAGCAAAAGGTATGTTTGAAGCGATTTTTCTGTGCCAATTGTGTTTAATTAGATTTTGTGCTCTTTCTGTTTACATTTGTTTAAAATTCTAACCTAAACAAATATGATTGCTTTTAAAAGGATCCACGCATTGTTGTAATTAATATCAAAATATAAAAAGTAAAGTTTCTAGAGTAACATGGTATGATCAGAATTATTTTCTTGTAAATTAAAACAGAAAATAAAATAGGCGAACGAGCCAACAGTAGTTTGTGCAGTAATACTTATATTCAGGAATGTTTACACATGTTTCGATCATTTAAAAGTCATCTTTAGTATACGAGGTCATATTAATTTATAATTTTTAATTAATTTTTATATTTATGTAATAATAATACAGTAAATAAACTGCGAATCTAATTAATACGCAACTAGAGAAGTTGTTTTTTCTGCTTTTTGAAAATACATTAACAAATAAATGATAAACATGATAAGATTGATTTAATTTCTTATTCTGTTTGAATTTTTCAACATCTTGCATTTTCTAGTGACCAAACTTCAGTTTCACATATTTTATTTGTCTCTTACAATTGACATATTTATGGAGAATTGCATGTCTGATGCAATAATCTTGTGATAAATGATACCTTAAGAAAAGTAAGTCAAATAATAGTTCTAATTTAAATTTTTTGTTTATTTATTGGATTGATATCATTGTAATCTTTTAATCTTAATGAAGATGACTTCATCATACATTAGAACATTTGTAATTGAAATTTATCATAAATATAATTTTAGCACAGTTAGCCAGCTTTGACTCTCAAACTTGAATACATTGTTATTTAAACTGTTAAATTAATTGAGCCTAAATTTTATAATTTATTATATATCGTTGTTACAGTGTGACGTGTAGAGTGCCACAAGGATTAAAGAATTTGATACCACCTCTTATAGTTCAATAAAGATCATGGAGAAGTCACAGAAAATGCCGAAAGTGGCGAAGGTTAAAAATAAGGCGCCTGCGGAAATACAAATCACCGCTGAGCAACTGCTGCGTGAAGCTAAAGAGCGTGACTTGGAGATCCTACCGCCGCCGCCAAAACAAAAGATCTCGGATCCACATGAGCTTGCTGATTATCAACACCGCAAGCGTAAAGCATTTGAGGACATTATTCGTAAGAATCGCATGATTATCACCAATTGGATGAAATATGCTCAATGGGAGGAGAGTCAAAAGCAGATTCAACGGGCGAGATCCATTTATGAACGAGCGTTGGAAGTGGACCATCGGAATATAGCACTATGGCTTAAGTACACTGAGATGGAGATGCGCAACCGGCAGGTGAATCACGCCAGGAATCTATGGGATCGTGCAGTTACTTTGCTCCCGCGGGCCAATCAATTCTGGTACAAGTACACATACATGGAGGAAACTTTGGAGAATATTGCCGGCGCGCGTCAAGTATTTGAGCGATGGATGGAGTGGGAACCAGACGAGCAAGCCTGGCAAACGTATATTAAATTTGAGCTGCGCTATAAGGAAACTGAGCGGGCTCGACAAATTTATGAGCGCTTTGTGATGGTTCATCCCGACGTGAAACACTGGATAAAGTACGCACGCTTCGAAGAATCGTACGGATTCATCAGGGGCGCGCGAGCCGTGTACGAACGAGCCGTGAATTTTTACGGGGACGAAGGTCTAGATGAGAAGTTATTCCTGGCCTTCGCCAAATTCGAGGAAGGCCAGCGGGAACACGATCGGGCCCGAATAATCTACAAGTATGCTTTGGACCACATACCGAAGAGTAACACTCAAGAAATTTACAAGGCGTACACGATTCACGAGAAGAAGTATGGCGATCGTTCGGGCATCGAGGATGTCATAGTTAGCAAAAGGAAGCATCAGTACGAGCAAGAAGTGAAGGAGAATCCCTCAAACTACGATGCGTGGTTTGATTACTTGAGATTGGTGGAATCCGAGGGTAACGTCGACGTGATTCGCGAGACGTACGAGCGAGCGATCGCCAACGTGCCGCCCACGAAAGAGAAGCAATTTTGGCGAAGATACATCTATTTGTGGATTAAGTACGCTCTTTTTGAGGAACTGGAGGCCAAGGATGTCGAGCGATGCCGGCAAGTGTACAAGGTATGCTTGGAGCTCATACCGCATAAGCGTTTTACCTTTTCGAAGATCTGGCTGCTCTACGCTAACTTTGAGATACGACAGAAGAATTTGGGCAAGGCGAGAAAAATGTTGGGTTTAGCTTTGGGAATCTGCCCAACGGATAAGCTGTATCGAGGATACATTGATTTGGAAATACAGCTGGTGGAGTTTGATCGGTGTCGCAAGCTGTACGAGAAGTTTCTCGAATTCGGCTCGGAGAACTGCACCACATGGATGCGTTTCGCCGAATTGGAGACGCGACTGGGCGAGATCGAGCGAGCTCGAGCGATATACGAGTTCGCCGTTGCACGACCGAGGCTGGACATGCCAGAGCTGTTGTGGAAATCGTATATCGACTTCGAGATTGCTCAGGGCGAAACAGAGAACGCCCGACAGCTGTTCGAGCGACTGCTAGAACGTACTTTGCATGTCAAAGTCTGGATAGCGTATGCCAAGTTTGAGCTGTTGAATCCGCAACTGGAGGATAGCCCTGATAATGTCATATTAGCGAGGCGTATCTTTGAACGTGGAAATGATGCGTTGAGATCCAGCGGGGACACCGAGAGTCGCGTATTGCTGTTGGAAGCTTGGAAAGACTTCGAGAGCGAGAAAGGCACTTCTGAAACTGTTGCCAAGATCACGGATAAGATGCCGCGCAGAGTGAAGAAGAAGCGTCGCGTTGTCGATGAAGACGGCAACGACGACGGCTGGGAAGAAGTCTACGACTTTGTATTTCCAGAAGATGAAGCGCAGAGGCCGAATCTGAAGTTCTTGGCCTCCGCGAAAGCTTGGAAGGACAGTTTAAATACATGAATGAAAATTTTTTACCTAATCATATAAGTATTGTATTATAATTTGTATTATAAATAAATATAAATAAATGTAAAATTTATTTATTGCTTCTAGTCAGTAAGTTTGTATTAAATATATATTAAGCGTAGTATAAATATTGCAAGTGTGAGCGCAAATCAAGCTGTACCGCGTGGAACTTTATTGAATGTGTGTACACTTGAAACGATTAAAATTGTAAAAATGTTGAACAGTAACAGCATGTGGATGGCTACTATCAAATTGTATAAAAAATACCAAGGTAACCTTTACAAAATATTTCTGGAAACTAAAAACGAAATTTAGTAATGGATTATTAACAAAAATGAGACATATGATTTGAAATTAATATCAACTTGAATAAAATTATTTTTTTTCTTATAAAACAGCTTTACTATTATTTGAACTCGTAATCATGGCGCATTGATAATCAGATATAATACAGTGAAAGGTCTTTTACATTCTCCTTTCTTTGTTTTAAAGTAATAAATTATTAATTTTTAAAGTCACAACAGTAAAAGTATAATTAAACCGGATGGCTGACCACAAATGATAATAGCATACTTTAAATCCTATCTATGAATTATTCTCTCGCAATTATAAGTGAAAAATATATGAGAATCCTCACATACCATGCCTTGTACAAATTTGATAATCTTTGAAGGCAAAATCGATTTTATAATTATCAAATAAATTTCTCCACAAATTAAATCAAATATAAATAATATAATATTTCAAGAAAATAATACTTAAATACTTGATATTGACCAATTAATTAATTAAAATATAACTTATTGCGTGACATTACTCTCTGTTATACAAGAAAAATAAAGTTATGCATATTCAAAAACAATAGCAGCAAATTTGATTTCTGTTGGGTCAATTGCAAGTAACAGCATCTGATTTGTACGGTTCACGGTGTCTAAAAGACGGCTTAAAGACGTCATTAAGACGTCTTATGTCCCGATTTTGGATATGCTTGCTGTCTGGGAGGTTTCAAACAATTCTAAATACCTAAACTCTTGCAATTACAAATAGATGAAGGTCGACGAAGTGAAGTACAACGAAAAATAGATTTAAAAAATTGCGCATTTACATTAACCTCCTCATCACAGCGATGCAATCGCACACTGCCAGTGATCACAGACCACTGAAATACATACGACAGTAGTTCGAAAAGTTCTCGGCCTGACAAAGAAAATACATGATTTTTGGCAAAATTTTTTTTTATTTTTTAACATAGTCCCCTTTCAACTCAATACAATTATTTGAATAATATACTAACTTTTTTACACCATCTGTATAATACGATTTCTCTAAACCTTCAAAATAAGCATTAGTTCCATCGATTACTTCAGTATTTGAGAGACAAATCTTTCTCCAGCGAGCCGTTTCTTCATGTTTGGAAAGAGAAAAACGCGGGGACTAAATCTGGTGAATACGGTGCGTGCAATTCATACAATTTGCGACTGCAATTGAAGAAGTGTTCTATAGTATACGTGACGTAATACTATAGATTGGAGCATATTGGAGCGAGTAAGGGTGAAATCAGATGATACGAAAAAGAGCTGCGGAACGGAGAGTGCGTCATTGAGACAGCCAATCACAACTATTCTGTATGTTCTGCATTAGTTCTGTACGGAACTGGGCTGCGGAACTGCTGCGGAGTGAAGAGTACGTCACTAGAGTCGTTAATTCAAATACTTATATAAATATTTTTGTTATTAAATAATCAATAATGGCGTATTCAAACAATTTGATTATGGCAGAAGAAATAAAAGGTACTTACATCCATTCTTAAATAATTAAAATACAAAGCAGGATCACTTGTTTCAAACAATTTAACAATTTAACAATTTTTAAAAATTTTTCAAATTTACTAAAGTATCTATGATCTTATTGGTCAATAACCTAGTAAACTTGTTTATTCTGTAATTTTCACTACATTGCATGATACACAATTGACCCCTGTGTGTAGGAGCCATCATACGGGCAATATAAACGAGCGGTAAGACAAAGAAAGGTAATGGGATTGTTTTGTCTCGTTTCTTCGCAAGCTTATTGAAAACCTCCATTTTTAATATACAGGGTATCCCAGACTTACCGTATCACCCGTTAATGGCAGATTCCTGAGGTCATTTGGAGACGAAAATCTTAATACCAAAATGTCGAGGCTACTATAGTATTAGAATGGAAAAGGCTTAAAGTTTACCAATCAGCTTGTCAGAATTTCGCGCGCTCAGGGACATCGCATCTCGAAAGAACCCTTGCACAACACTTTATGTAGCAAATTATACTTCGTACCGATAGTATTGATTTTCTCTCATGACATGAGAAACGTCATTTGTCAATGGCACGACTGCTTTGACAGTTCGACGCGCATCGTGTTTTAATATAATTTAGAATTTATTATCGTTAGTAAATTCGTCAGTATTGCGAACAATGTAAATAAAGTAAATAAAGTGAATAAGAGCTGAGTGAAGTAAATAAAACGTATTGAATAAAGTGTTGTGCAAGCAAGGGTTCTTTCGAGATGCGATGTCCCTGAGCGCGCAAAATTCTGACAAGCTGATTGGTAAACTTTATAAGCCTTCGCTATTCAAATACTATAGTAGCCTCGACATTTTGGTATTAAGATTTTCGTCTCCAAATGACCTCAGAAATCTGCCATTAACGGGCACAGATGTCTATACTAGTACTAGATCGCTAACTTTAGACTTTGCATATGCAAAAACTGAGGCTGGCAGGATTTTCGGTTTCGGCCATGACACCCTACAACAAAATGGCCGCTTCCGCTATTGCATGAAATGTACTAAAATATTTTTATTTTGTATTTTTTTTATTTTTAATAAAATAACATTTTTTAATTCTAATATTTTAAAAAATATTTATAACATTTATAAAATAATAATAATTATATGTACAATTATATTTAATTATTATTATTTATTCTAATTATATGTACAATTTAGTGTTTATACAATTTACATTAATAAAATGTATATAATTTTATAATTTTAAACATTTTCATATTTTACAACATCATTTGCACAAAGGGCCCTTTCTACCAACGCAGACTAATTTAATATATATACTGCTTTAAAACATATTTATAATTTGTTGCCATACCTTAGAGTTTTTAATAAGTTTTCCAAAGAATGTATTTTTTCTTCTTTTCTTTTTAGCTTTTGCTTTAATGACTTGATCGTTCTCCACATTAACTTTTTCCGTGGACTCATTTCCTGCTTCTTCAATTTTAAAAGTGAATTGGCCATGACTTTTCTCGGTTTTCGCATGTTTATTTTGATGGTATCAGTAGCACTTGTACTCGGCGATGGAATTGAAAATGTTGAATTTTCTTCTCTTGGTTTCAATATACTTATTTTCCATGCAGTTGCTGGCATCACAGCAGATGCAGAAGCAGGAGTAGTATCAAACTCAATTGAAGAAGTCTTAATTGTTGTAACATCCTCAGGAATAGAATTAACGGTAGGAGCTGGAGTTTCACAAAATACCGAAGGTACAGCAAGATTTTTTAAACGTACGCCACTTGCATTAGGTCTTTCCATAAAATCTGTATCTATGAAATGAGCACTACAGATTAAATGATATTTTGTGGGTTCAAAACCGTCTCTTCCAATGGCATTCATCCACATTTTTAAAATGTCTGGACGATTCAATGGAAATCTGAAATATTTACATTTTTAACTGAAACATAATCTTCAAATATTACAAATCTCGAATTATAAATACATTTTACTTACCTAAATAAATGAAAACCATCTTTTGTAGTATTTTTGCATTTTAGAATGCAACAACTACTCGGCATCTTTCAAGAATTTTTACAATATTATCAATTTGTATCACCACGCCGGGTATCACATGTGCATACGCTGTAGTTAACCGACGTTGGAAAAAGTGGCCCCTAGTGCTCTTACTAGAAGTGGCTCCTAGTGCTCTAGTAAGAGCACTAGGGGCCACTGTTGGGGCATGCGACGCGAATAAACTCTTAGTTCAGTGCGCTGTGTCGGTATAACTATAGTTTAACGAATTTTTATTGAATATTAGTGACATCTATTAGACGACATAGGAAAAACGGGGATACAACATATTTTATTTGCGCGTGCTGTCCCTGGATGGCACTACTCATACTGGTACAATTTTTTACGAGAGTTTGCACACCCTGTTTAGGACTGATTTTGGGGGTCAGCATCTTGCGTGATGATTACGCTAAATTAGGTTTAGATCATATTGTTAGGTCGTTTAATTTGTACTAATTGACTGAAATACTCTTATTATGGCTTCCTTGGTTGCGGATTACGGGACCTCCTCCGGTTCGGACAACGAGACGAGCGACGACATTTCAGATAATGCGTAAGTTTTTAGCGTTATGTCAAACAAGTCAAACTGTTCCTTGTGCGTGTTTTTCTATTTAGTGCTATTTCATAATCTAATCTAATTTTGCTCAAGAAAGACGAAAATCGTAAATATTTCCAATTTACAAAAGATTGTACGAAATCGTTTTATGAAATGAAAAATAATGGTTTTGACAGATCATGCAGATATAAAATTAGATACCCATTTTTAGATGCAGAGCACTGCATTTTAGATGTATTTTAGACGCAGAAGAGCTCTTTTATCAAAGACAACATGAATCTGAAAAAGATAAGCATTTACAAATTAATGAAATTGGATATATTATTTATATTAGAAGATGAAAATTTAATTAGTGACTTTTATACAATTAAATAGCTTAAGTTTATTCACATAATTCACATTTTTTCTATTGGAAAAGTGTAATTAGCATATATGTAAGAAATAAAACTTGTCTTATATCTAGCATCTATAATCTATCATTATAGCGTAAAGAAAAATATAAATATTTACTTAAACTCAGCAATTGTTATATACGTGCAGAATGCAGCTTGTTCTTTGTAATCTGATATTGCCTCACCATTAGCTTTAAGGATGCTCAAGAGTTGGAGAAGGAGAGCGAGGAAGAAGAATATGAGAAAGATGAGAATAGAGAGAACGGCGAACACATGAAATTGATTGAAACAGCAGCTTCCAAAGAAAAGCTTCCATTGCCTACGCCGGATTTCAATAGCGCACCTACGTTGCTGAGGACTTCCGTATTCTCGAATCCATTTGTGGAGGCGGAGCGAGCGAAAAGCGCGATCCTGGAGAAGCACGTGAAAATGACACCCACTCTGGATGACACAAAGATGATAAACGGCCGCAAGATCTGCTGGAATTATCGGAAGGGCCGTTGTCGTTTCGGTCACAATTGCACTTTCGCCCACGATTCGGACCTGCATCGCAGCGCAGCTGAAATGGAAGCCTTACGAGTTCCACAGGAGACGTTGGTCTGCCAAACTCGATACAACAACGGACAACAGCTGCAGCAGATGCTGTCGACTGCGAACGACGACGACAATGAAGTGGATCAAGAGAACAATCAGACGACAAACAAAAAGCGCAAGAAGAGGCCCGGCCTGAGCCAGTCCTTACTTCCAAGCAAAAGGGTCTTCAAACTGTACAAAGCGCAACAACAACAAACCAAAACCGTTGCTAGATGAATATTATTTGTTCGGTATAGCAGCAAGAAGGAAAATTGTCTTTTAGCCAAATTGTTTCACGCTCTTCGCAAGAACGCAAATCGAAAAGTACGCGCAATGAGCAATTTTACGAAGCATCGAAAAAGACGGCGCTTTAAAAATGTATCTTGTAGAAAATTTCTGCTGGTTGAAAGTTAGAAAAAAAAATTTTCGGAAGACGAGTTGAAAGAAATTTTAGAGGATAAAAAAAATCATGAAGAAAATCACAGGGTAGAAGAGAAAATATCATTGCGAATAGTTTTCAATTTGCCTTTCTATTACGCTTCAGTTGAGAATCGTAATTCTACCTTTTTAAAAATGGCAGGATCGGAAGCCATTAGTGTACACCGAGAAGCTAACGAGCTCTCGCGTGTCTCACCTAAGATTTAGATTAATATTAAACGATTAAACGTTGAGTAGGAAAGCGATACAAGTATGAGAGAAAGAAAAAGATCAAATTCCGAGTTATGCTTCCAATGAACACACCTGCAATTTGTAAGATAAGAACTTTGTTCGAGAAACTTTTATCTCGCGTAAATTTGCAAAGGGTTACTCAATGTATAAAGCGCGCCAGTACGCGGGTTTCTCGAGACACGCGTAAAATGTCTTCTCGTTATCCTGTTTTCCCATATTTATTATTTACTAGATATTAGAGATACTTATGAGAGAAAACCAAATAATATATTACGGTACTATTGTAACGATAAGATAGACTGTATCGTAACAATATGTGAGAATCCATTTTGTGAAGAAATTTTTCGACGAAATTGGAGTAAACCTTGACACACATATAAAGACATCCTGTATATACAGGACGATCCGCGTCGAGCGCACCGTGCGATAACGGCACATTCTTGAGATCATTTTTAGATGAAAGTCCAAAATGTCGAGGCTGTAATAGTTTTTAAACGGCAAGCATTAAAAGCTGATCAATCAAGTCGCTCCGTATTCGCGCACTCAGGCACGGCACATCGCACAGTGATGAAGGCGTCTTCGGATATCGATCTGCTTTTATTTTTTATTATACGTAAAGTATTTAAAAACGAATTGATATCTGAAAGTATCCTCATTTTCGCGCGATATCTGAGCACACGAATTTGGAGCAACTCGATTGGATCAACTTTATACAAACGCTTCCCGTTTAAAAACTATTATATTCTCGACGTTTCGGATTTTCATCCCAAAACGATCTCAGAAATGTGTCGCTCAATGCGGGACACCCCGTGTATATATATATATATGTATCTGATAACGACACACTTCCATGCGCTTCTGTGAATTTAGGATTAAGTCGAGCTATTTACTTGATTATATCTCTTTTTTATGTAGTACATTTTTATTTTACATCTGCTTATGCGATCAATCGTGGTGAAATTCGATGCTGTTATTCAGATTTATTTATAATAATTTGTAAGTATTGTAATTGTTTTTTAAAACATCGAGAAAACGTGAAAAGTAATCGTAACACATTAACATAAAAGAATTAACGAATTGAGATTTTAGCCAACTATATCTACTTTAAGTGGTTGACGATTATTCACTAACACGCTGATTACGCTATTAAAGAAGAAAACAATACGTAACTACGATAAAAAAAAAAAAATGTGTAATTTAAAAGGATCAGTTGGAAAGCGAAAGTTTATCTAAATATCATGTTGCCAATAAACGATTCAGCTGTGCTGAAATGTCTTGTTTAATTCAACACTTCGTTATCCATATTTACGAAATACGTGTAACAAGCTGATATTAAATAACAAATATAACGATTTGGGGCAATTAGTTTTCCGCTCATTGGCGAGAGGAGATCTCTCGACTTTTTTAACACACTTAGCGCACACGATTAATGCAGAAGATATTAAAGACCAGGGCTGCATTTATACTTTTGGAGGCCGCAACATCGTTATCAGACCTCAAAAGAACAAGTCTATTTCAGTTGATCGAATTCATACGCATTTTTTGTTAAATTTATTGAAGATAAAAGTCGACATGCATGATGCAAAAAGGCGAAATTTAATAAACACAATTACAAATTTTCCAGCGGCCTCTAGTTTTTATATTATGAATTTAATATTTAACAGTATTTTATTTTGCAACTAGGCTGTTTTTTATATTGCTATTTGTGAGGAGTAAGGTTTTAAAATAATGCGCCTTATGGTAAATGCGGCCGTGTTAGAGGCAAAACATAAGGCATGATAGGCACGTGACATATTTTTCTTTTTATTAGACGCTTATGGGTATAACATTCTGTTTTTCAGATCCATTATCTTTTATATTATTATCTACATAAACTGAGTGCATGTTGATCGCTATTGCATTCTCAATTGAAAATATAGATTTTCGCGTTTATACATTGACATATATATCCCTCGCCACGCACACAACGCACACAACGCACACACGCGCACACACATACACACATATATATATTTTCTGTTTCTTTTCTCTTCATTTCCGCAAATGAATGTTTCATAGGCACTTCGTCTCTAAACAGTGGCAAAATTTGTGAGTGATTGGTTTTGGCGCGTAGAAAATGCGAAAAACGACACATGTATAGATAAGCGTCATTACAAAATTTATCATAGTAAATTTTAGTCACGAGTTAAAATACGAAAGATTTGGTAATTCTTTTTTTTTCTTCTCTTTCATTTTTTCCAGCGAATCTCACCGTTCTTCACGATTATATCGATAATACATATTACAATTAATCACAGAAAGGGTGAATTCGACAAAAATAATCGCGCCATCATACACAATTGAATTCAATTACTTTTCTAGACAAGCGTCTATTAAGTACTAGAACATTCGATCGTCAAGGGTTCGCCGCAATTGTAATAACAAGTTATTATGCTATGCTCAATACCACAGTTTTTAAAATGAGTTATCGGCATAAATCGGTGTAAATCTGCTTAATTTTCTCGTGCCTCGACACTTTGACTGCCTCCGTCATCTATGTTTGGCTGACGCATATATTTTCATTAAAGAGCACACTTTGCAACTTTCAGCTATGCGCTCATACTCGAAATTAGCTCGGCAGTCAAAGTATCAAAAGCATTTATTCATCAGTTGAACGAGACATGTACAAACTTCGAAAATGCGTGAATAAAATGATTGTAAACAAATTTTTCAAGGCATCGTTACGAAATCGTAGCGGTTTCGCTTAAATCCAATTAAAAAACTTTGCGGCGAGCTTATTTAAGAATTTTAGAAATCTAAAACTTGAAGTTTTAATTAAGACACCAAAGGAGAGTGATCAAAAAGCTACAAAAAGCATAGATCTCTGCGAACAACTCAGAATGAAGTCATGTATCAAAATTTTGCGAAACAATTGATCCTTTTTCCCGGAGAATACGTACTTACAAATCTAGTCAAGTGCTAAAAATCTGATAATTTATCATAAAATCGCTAAAGCTTTGACATTGCATTGCAGTAGAGCTTACGTCGCGAAATACTATAATCATCAAAAGAATTTATAATTTCCCTTTTCTTTTCGATATGACACTAAATACACATTAAAGGGATATTTAATATATCTGAGTTCTCTTATATCTCAAATAGATTTGGCATTAGTTCGAAAAGGACTTTTTCCAGGACACGTGTATTCCCATTCCTGCGTTCCAGATGCGTCGACAATTTTCTTTTCTTTTCTCTCTCTCTCTCTCTC